ATTTAATAATATAAAAATAAAAATTAAGTATTAAAAATAAAAACAAATTTAATCAAAAATAAAATATTAATATATTAACTTTTTAAAAGTTTAATGGCCTGTGTCCCTCCAGGACCGCTGGCTCCGCCTATGCCTGTGATGTAGAGTTAGGGACATTTTTTCCGTGAAATTTTGAGCGGTATTATTTTAGCTTCCGGAGATCTCAATTCCAAGAAAAAAAAAATTAAAATTTTAAAATATTATTAATTTTTCATGAAGAAATATTTTTATTTCTAAATTTTTTTTTTAAATCTTGTTTGGGACCTTTCTGTTGTTTGACAAGTATTAGAAAATTTTCGAAATTTCCACAATACTAGAAAGTAAAATTATTTGAAATTAAATATTAAAAAAAATAATCCATTTCACATATTTACTATTTTCAAATTTTCTACTATACTAATAAAATAAAAATAAAAATACCATATAATCAAGATAACAATAAAAAATATATCAAATCAAAGTATACTTTCGAATATCTTATGTTAAATAAAATTCAAATAGAGGCAACGAAAATCCCCAATAATTCCAGCTTCTAACAAGTCACTGGCACTTTACATTGGTTTGTTTGGTTTAAGGTAATTGGGAAAGTAGAGAAGTCAGAAGGAAAAGTAGATTAGTATCGTATGTAATCAAGTTTTGTTGATTAGTTGTTAGGTTTTGCATGTTTAATGTTTGGTAAGAAATTAATATTAAAAACATTGTAGTAATAACAGTTACGTTGGGAGAAACTATTTTTTGTTAAAATTGTGAGGAAAAAAATTACTTATTAATTAATTATGTTAGAAAAAATAATAAAAGTTAAAAATATCAATTTTGTTATTTATTTGTTATAGTATCTGTATAAATAACAATCCCTAAACTTTTTTGGGTGAGGGAAAAAAAAAATACTTTGCAAGCCAAACGCACCCTATAGGACTTTAAAAAAAATTTTAGGAGCAGATATTAATATTGGCTTAGTTTGAGAAGGTTGGCTTAGGGTATGTTGTGGCATTGGCTTTTTTGTCTTTTTT